CTTACATTAGTTGATAACGATATATTAGATATGCCAATGCGAAATAAGCGAAGCAAAAGAATAGAATCAAAGGCGCAATGACACTATAAAGAATTCCAATAGTAAAGAAAAACAGATGAAGATTATAATATACAGGATAATCAAAGTCTGGAGGACGCGAGAATTCTTTAAGATTTCGAGGAGTAGGCTTAACAAATCTTCTTTTTATAAACTTCATCAACAAAGAAGCAACTTGTGCCAAGTCAAATACAGCTCCAACACCACGTAAAGAAATGTAATTGATCCAAAAAGTGGAAACCTTAATCATTGAATCCGCAATTTCGTCGAGGAGATTAGATTGTTTGATGACATTATAAATATCTCTCAAATGTGCATCCCCTTCATCAATCTTTATTCGGATTTTTGTCCATACACCAACGAGTGTTGAGGCACTAGTATAAATAATGATACTATTTATAATAAAGAACAAATACAATTTTCCAAGTGTAGATCGATCAAGTGAAGATTTTGATATCTTCCCTTGTTGTTTAGCAAGTTGACGAAGAATAGATGGCAATATAAGGAAAAATATAGCCATTATAAGTGGGCTCATCAAAGCTTCCAAGATACCGGAAACAAATTTATTTTTACTCAAACCCTTTGTAAAAGGAAGAAGATATTCAATGTTTTTAACTTGAGCAAAAGTAGTTATAAAAGTTATAGGAACAAGCCAGAAAAAACATAACGCAATGAAAAGAGCATGACCGATAAGTGTCTTTGGACCTATATATTATTTAATAAAAAGTCAATTATAAATAAAGTATCCTGAAAACTTTTTTAAAAACATTATTAAATGAAAACATTACCTCTAATAGCATCAGACATTGATAAATTACCCCATATAATATCTTTTGGTAATGGAGCAAGTACTACTTTTGGAGTAACAACATGTTGAGTTCGTTGAATAATTGATTTATCTCTCAATTCTTTGGCAACCTTATGAGCATCAGTAATGTTGATAAAAGAAACAAAACCATAATTCAATGGTTTTTTATCCGATATAGCATTACGACACTCCAAGATTTGACTTTCAAGGGACTGAATCTCTTGAGTATAATATTCAATACTATCAATAGAAGGACCGTATAAACCTTCAATGCGATGACGCGGTCGTTCTTCTGGAATGTTATCCGGATCTAATTCATCATACGTATGAAATTTATGAAATATATTAAATATATGAATAATGATATATAATGATAATTCGCCATTGAACTTTAATTGATATACTCACCACTTAGATATTTTACTAAAACTGACTCCAATTTCCGAACAGAATCATCATGTTTCTTGAGTAATTCAGGTAATTTCCCTACTTTTCTAGATATATGTGCTTGAGAAATAGGATATTTGACATTGAAAGAATCCAAAAGTTTTAGTAAACCTTGATCAGACTGCATCGAGTGTGGAACATTGGTGACCAATAATGTCCTTGCATGTAAAGAAGTTTGATATTCATCAGATTCAAAGTAATTCATCTTTAGCTCAGCATAATCTTTATATTGTTTATGAACGAGCCGATATATAAGGATTGAGAATATCCAAGTGAAAGCAGCATGAATCCAAAACCATTGTATCTACAATAGAGTACAAATTTATTGATATGTAAGTTGATATAGTATTAGATATAGTATTAGATATGTGAGGTAAAAAAATAATACCTACATTGTTTAGATAGGAAACACTGAGGAATTGAAGAGGATTATCAGACTCTGGAAATTTGTTATCCGAATCACGATATGTACCATAAATATTTAATGGTACTAAAACAAATGTACCCATAATGAATAGCCACAAAAATAGGTTTCTACATAAACTTATGAATCTTAGATACATTACAGCATCTAGACCAATTTTTTCTATTAATTGTGATTCTGATACACTTATTACTGGTTTAATCCAAGAGAAGAGGCCTGATTCAAGTTTTGGTGGTTGTTTTCTGATTATATGAATTAAAAAAAAAAAAAAGAAATTATTAAATTAACATTTTTTCTATTGAATACAGGATTTAATGATATACTTACTTTTCTGGAGAATATTTTTGTTTTGGCGCATATACGACTGGGAGTTATGAAATTTTTTTATCATCACAGTTATTGATGCTGATTATTTAACACTAATAAATTATTCGATAATTTTACAACCAAATACTCACTCCCATTCCTAGGTCTAAGAATTCCAAATATTACTAGAGTTCCAAAACCTAAACTGAAATTGATCGCTAATTGGGAATACATTCCCGAAATTGTAATCGTAGCGGACTGTTCTTCTTGCCCAACATAACTCATTTTTTTTTTTTTTTTTTTTTTTACAAAAAGAAAGAGTGATTCTAAATTTTCGATACTTTTTTAATGATACAAGAATACAGTAATTGAATTTAAGTT